GTGCAATCTGCCAAACTCCTGGGTGTAACTATAGACAGCAAACTGGACTGGAAGGCCCATGTAAACAACACAATCAGGGCAGCCTCGTACCGACTACATGCTACGACGACTCAGGTCACTTGGGGCACCCACTCCAGAGCTGAGGACTATCTACAACGCATTTATACTCCCCAAATTAACTTATGCGTCACCAGCCTGGTAGTCTTCTCTCAACTCTACCCAACAACGTCAGCTAGAGAAGGTACAGAAGAGGGCCTGCAGAATCATGCTCGGCCCAGATCACTCCGGCTACAACAACGCTCTCTCCACCCTGGAAATGCCACCCCTCAGTGACCTCCACCACCACGCACTGGCAGGGTTTGGCAGTGGACTACTGCACCATCCTCGTCATCGCCACCTTCTCCCACAGGCAGTCCCCCACCCACCTCATGCAGTCCGCCACTACAACAAAATTCAGCCCATAAGAGCCCGCACTGATAGATGTAAGAATAGCACCATTCCATCTATTGTTAAAATAATAAACAGCTCCTGATTTATGTACTGTAGAGCCCTGTAAATGTATTGAACGTATATCATTATGTCTAAATCACATGTAAGTTTGTATATTTTCAGCCAACGGCCGCAACTCTATTAATAAACCGTTTATTATTTTTGTTATTACACACACACACACACACACACACACACATACATACACACACACACACACATACACACACACACATACATACACACACACACACACATACACACACACTCATATCTATCTAGCTATCTAGCTATCTATCTATCTATCTATCTATCTATAATCTTCATCAAAGGTAAAACATATAAAAGGTGCTTTTTCTCATATTCCAACGAACGTTACTCACTCTTTAACGGGTGTGGAGATATACCACAGCGACTCGTCTTCTTCTACAAGGTGACACCAATAACGAAAGCTACCTACCACTTTATGTACAATGCTTGAAGCTATAATCCCTAAATGTTTAAACCATCATCATAAAGGAATTAGTAAGTAACAGAGGACTAATAAACGATAAATACGCTTAAGTTACCTTAAACCTCATATACGGACGACGGTCCTATATACATAGACCAATATACTTCCTTCTAAAGTCTAATGTAAAAAAAATCGTAAATAGAAGACAAGTGATTACGAGTAGATGTTGCACCACCCTAGATTATTTCATTTTCAAAAACTATACTCAGAAGTTTCCTGCTTACTAAGCAGGACCTTCTTTTGGATGTACATGACTAAGCAGTGCTTAGTCATGTACATCCAAAAGACATTTGTTTTACCGTCGGAATTGAAATTGAAATATTTCATCTACTCAGAAAAATAGAGATATACTGTAATAACAGCAACAACAATATTATCATAGCTGAGCCTTTCGAGTGCTGGAGCTATCATGAATGTAAGCAACAGTTAAGATAAAACTGTACCTTTATTTCAAGAAAATTAATAAATAACCTTAATCACCATCTGGATTACAACCGTTGATATTTCAGCAGTAGTTTCAGTAATGCAACACATACGAATATATAACACCTCTAAAACACAATAAAGGATTAAGATTAACGACCTTCAAACTAACCTAACCTAACCTTACCTAGCCCCCTCCTCCCCACATTAAAGGTAGCGTAAGGATGTTTAATCATAAGGTGACATAAGCCCTACCAGCTAATCTTCAGGTGATCCATCAGATGCCTATCAATGAGGCGTAGGGTCACATGGGTCGAGGTTTTCTACCCCACAATTTGAACATAAACCTGCTCGGGCTACCCTGGGATCGAACGTAGGGCAGTAGAGCAGCACGACAACCCCCTGTCCACTCCACCACTCAGGGGTTCCTAATAAAACTGCTGTTGAAGCCCCATTAGGACCTGATAGTTCACTCTTTTATACCTGAGGCAACTTTTTTGGTTTAACCTTACTTTTTTCTGTAAATGGAAGAGGTAATTTTGTTAATGTATTTTGTACAGTTACGGTCAAAACGCCATTGACACTTAACACTTAACGGTCGATTTATTTTTTTTAAATAAAATATTTTCCTGTGTTAATAATGTGCTGAACTTTACTATGGTTTACTTAATTTGACGAACTAATTTTAAACTATGGGAATATAAGCCTCTAAAACCAAAGACAAATAACTGTGGCAATGCCTATGCTGACGTCACTAGTCAGGACAAACTACTTGCGAAACAATCGGTGTTGACTCTGGTGCTGACTCTGCTCCTACATTTAATCATGGCAAAATCAGCACATATTTATCATTGCTGCTTTGTGTCAATGTGCAAAAGTGCGAATATACGCACGCCAGAAAAAAAAAATATTAGTGTGCCAAAACAAAAGGAAACCAGAAAAGTGTGGTGGCGAGCAGCGTATCCGGAGTACTCACCCTATCTCCTCAAGAACCTCCTTTTGTTGTGAAGACCACTTCACTGTGAGTATTAATCACCATTATTTATTAAAAGGGCGGAATTTTGCGAAACAGAAACAAGTGAAAACCCTATTAATGTAATATATAAGATCAACTGAATCCTCCCTCCACACATGCAATTGCTCGCAAAATGACGAGTCATAATATTAAATATGGAGTAATTTACTTTTTATGTTACTTAATGGAAGGATTTTCCCCCTCTGAAATACAGTTACCTATAATATATTCAAACACGAAGCTCTATAGATCCCATATGTCTCACAAAATAGTACCTTTACCGATAATGAGGCTATAACTTGTAACTAGTACAGTATACAGTAACTTCAAGTAGGGTTTGTTGTTATACTTCTTTTAGATTTCGGCTATCACATCTACTGGTGTTCATGGTACCAAGCCATTGATTTGTTTTCTTGCTTTCAGTTGCAAGAAGACTAACAGAACTACATGTACAGTCAGCCAAAGATGCACCGACCCCACCCTGGGTCTCGTGCCCTCAATTTTACCTGGCAATACTTGGTAAAGGAAGGCTGTATGTAAAGGTGATTGTGATTGTTGGATCTCTTTCGACTGTATCACTGTCAGGATAATTATTAAACAAACCAAAGGTAGAATTTTTATAGTAAAAAACTAGTCATTGTTAATTAAGGGCATAAGAAGTTTCCAAATTTTCGGATATTTGCTTAAATAATGAAGAAAATTATATTAATGACTTGGCAACTTAACTACAACCACAGCTGCCACAAGATTCTCACATTTTTTTTAATTATAAATATACGAATATTCGGAAACTTCTTAGGATCTAAAATAATGATGAATAATTTATTATTATCAAAATGTTACCTTTGGTTTGTTTAGTATTTATCCTGACAGTGATATAGTCAAAAACAGATCCACCAATCACAATCACCTTTACATACAGCCTTCCTTTACCAAATATTGCCAGGTAGAATTGCGAGCACGTGACCCAGGGTGGGGTCGGAGCATTTTTGGCTGACCATACCTGGTGACAATGGGGAGACATGCCAAGTTGAAGCCAGGAGTTCTACCTCATAAATTTGATTGCCAGAGTAGAACCATAAAAACAAATCTAATAGAATCTCCCTTTAAAGGAAAAGAAAATTTCAAGAAATACTGGACAACAAAGAAAACTGTGAACCAGGGAAAGATTTAAATTTTCACCAATAATGTGTAAACTGTTGTTTGAAAAAAAAATCTTCCAGAAGTAAGCTTATAACCTGAGTAAGTGGTATATGGGTTGCGTATATGTACCAAATGAACTGAATACGCTAATATTAATTGTGACAGTTTTGTAAAGTTATGTCTTCCAGTAATTTGCTGTGTTGATTAGATTATGTAGTAACTTCTTCTGATCCTTTTTCCGTGAACCGTTAAATTTAATACATTTCTTTTTCATTAATTTATTTTATTTATGTTCTGTTATTTTTTACTTTGTATTTGTGTATTGTCATATATATATAATTTTGCAGATGAATCATCTGTGATGGCTGCAGACCAGGACCAAGATGAAGGTGATAATCCTAGTTACTCTGCAGAGTCAGCTTCAAAGAACATTGGAATCGAGGAATATAAGTCAACTCATTAAATTATTTTACTGATTTGTAATACTGTTCTTCAAATGTTTTACTAACCATTTCCTAACTCTTTCAGTTTGGTGCCAGTTTAAGTCGTATTAGGTTGCAGAACACTAATCGTTTATATCCCATATATTCTTTGCCTTACCTTTGATGCATCCAATGTACCGTGTTACATTTCAGTGACAAAGATCATGAGTGTTTCACCACTCAAGATTATGAACATCATCATCTGAAGACAGCGGTGACGTCACGACCACCGAGATGCCGATTTGAGGCGTCTCGCCATATGGTCAGCTTTGAAGCTTTTTTCTCCACTCAATGAAATTACTTTGCGGAAATAAATTTAAATCAGATTTTTTTTATTCCCAAGGACTCTGTTATTTAAAAGACCCCGCGACTGTCAACCAATTTATTGCAGGTCATTAGTTTATAATTGGTGAACGAAGTCATAAAAATTAACATGAAAAAGCATCTGAGTAAGTAGGAGTTAAAATTCAATTTCCTTTTAATTTCCTGACATTTAAAGATATGGCGGATATAACCCAAAGTGTTCAGGAAAATTTGTCAGTAGCTGTACATGCGATATATACTGTAAATACCATGTTTGTACGTTGAGGGTAGGTGTCGTGTGGCAGTGGTGGGTGGTGGTGGCATGAGACTATGGTAGGTGGGGTTGGCAGTAGAATAGGTGGTCGGTGAAAAGGTAGTAGTAGAGGAGGTGGTTGGTAGTGGTGGTAGTGGAGGAAATGGTAGGTGTTGGTGATAGTAAAATCAATGGTAGATGTTTGTAGTAGCGGAAGTGGGGAGCAATGGTGGCGTGAGGAGGTGATAAGGAGCAACAGAAGCAAAGGAAGTGAGAGAGAAGCAGGCTGGTAGGCAGGTGTGTAGGCGGTGGCAGACGCGTGCTCACTCCTGCCCACTTCACACACCACTGCCGCACGCACAACCTCCTGCGCCCCACACTCGACACACGCCCACCAGCTCCCGCTGCTCTCACTGCCTCACACACACGCCTGTCGTTGCCAGCCCGCTCGCCCCTCACACTCAACCTCCGGAGAGTTCACATGGCCGTCGAAGTACTCCACCCACCTGACTTAAAAGAAAGTGCACTGATGAACGAAAAAGAAAACTCTAATGAGGAAAAATAATTGTTAATGAAGATAATAACTTATCATGTTGGTTTTAAGTTAGTGAAACTATTAAGAATAGTGAAATAAATGATAATAAGAATAAGACGTTAAATTATAAAAATAAAACGACGTAAACTGAAATAATATAATTTGTGAAGAATTAAGGAAGGTAAATACTTGAATAAGGTAAGATATGAAAAATGCTATCAGAGCAAGTTTGTAAAATTCAACTTGGTATATTTTTTAATTTGAGTTGCTTTGACAATATAACACTTGCTATTGTTGTTAATATCGTTGATGTTGTTTTGATGTATTCGAGTGCTACAGCAGCCAAGGTATGAAATGTTACTCCCGATGACCAATTTTAGAAATTAAGAATGGAATACTATATTAAAAAAGAGGTTGGAAGTTGACATCTCCAGAGGCCACATTTTGTTAATGGACGAAAAGTGAGTACTAATTAATCTATTTATATTTTGCTCGATTCGTAAACCTGTATACACACACACACACGCGAATATATATATATATATATATATATATATATATATATATATATATATATATATATATATATATATATATATATATATATATATATATATATATATATATAATGAATATGACGCGAGATAGTCGTGTGTGAACTTGTAAACTAAGCGGGAAAAAGAAAACTAAAACATTGCTTAAACGGTTTCATGTATTTAACACAACTTCAGAAGGAAATTACACAAAGATACAGAGACAGAGAGAGCTACATATTGTCTCTATCACACCCTGGAGGTAACTGTAACTCTCTCGATCTATCTAATATATATATATATATATATATATATATATATATATATATATATATATATATATATATATATATATATATATATATATATATATATATATATATATATATATATATATATATATATATATATATATATATATATATATATATATATATATATATATATATATTCTGGATCACGTGAAGATTAGACACCCAAGTTTATTTCACAAGAAGATTAACCACCTAATATAGAGTTAGTGTGGTTAATCTTTACGTGAAAATACTTGAATGTTTAATTTTTAAGAGAGATAAGTTTGGGTGTCTAGTCTTCAGGTAAAATAAACTTGCGTACCTAATTTTCAGAGAAAATAGGCTTTAGTGTCTAATCTTTAGGTGAAATAAACTTGTTTCCTAATCGTGAGGTGACATAAGCTTGGGTGTCTTTCTTCAGATCAAGTAAACTTGGGTGTCTATTCATCAGGTGAAAGAAGATTAGGTGTCTAATCTTCAAGTGAAATAATAGAGGGCACCTAATCTTCAGGTAAATAAGTTTAGATGTCCAAACTCTAGGTAATGCTATTTCCTTTACACGCTTGACAATATAGAAAACCTTTAATGCCAAAAGTTGTATGAAGACTGAGGCCTAGGGTCACTTTGTAGCGAGGCAGCTGATTGGCTGGCGGACGGAAACGTGAAGAATCATTACAGTTCTATAGTATTTAATCTATCGTTTATAATTTATGATATTTGGGGGATAATAACTATTTTGTGTTTATTTCTGATAATTTCCACTCGTGGAGAAACAATATCAGCATGTGAAACGCACTATACCTGCCCTCAACTGTCCCTACCTGCCCTCACCTGCCCTCAACTGTCCCTACCTGCCCTCACCTGCCCTCATCTACCTTATTCTGCCATCACCTGTTAACACCTTCCTTTACCTGCTCATACCTTCCCTCACCTGTCCATACCTTCACCTCACCTGCCCATACCTTTCCTCACTTGCTCTCATGTGCCCTCACCTGCCCCCATCTGCCCTATCCTGCCATCACCTGAGAACACTTTGTCTCACCTGCCCGTACCTTCCCTCTCTCACATGCCCTCACATGTCGTTACTTGCCCTCACCTACCCACACCTGTTTACACCTATACACATCTCCCTCTCCCTTTCTTGTTCTTAGTTGTTATTGATCTTCTTTTATTTCATCTTCTTTGTTCATGTTTTGGGTAATAGTTTTCCTTTTATTCTTTTACTAGCGGAATCGCCGCCCTCCGGGCGGCTCTTTCGCTAGGCCACGGTAGGACGCCACCCTCCGGGAGGCTCCACAATGTCTCACTGAAGTGCATTAAGGTAGACCACATTTTTTGTTTTGCCATTAACAGCAAGTATGTACAGATTTTTGCCAGTTCCCACTCTGGAGCATCCAACATAGAACTGTCCATGAGAGAAGCAAGGAAACACCAGGTTTAGGCCAACCATCTTTAGGGACTGTCCCTGGCTTTTGCAGATGGTCATGGCAAAGCTCACTTTAACCGGAAACTGAAGTCGCTTGAACTCAAATGGCAGGTCAGTGGTATAAAAACGTCCTTGGTATAAAAACGTCCTCTCCTTTAGCTTTTCCTGTCAACATAGTAGCTTCCAGTACATGTGGGATCATGTTCTTCACCACCAGTCTTTTACCATTGCAGAGGATTGGTGGTTCAAGATTTCTTAAGAGCATTATAGGAGTTCCAATCTTGAAAGTGAGGTGGTGAGGAGACATTCCAGTGGGTTCCAAAGAATTAAGGAATTCTGCAGGGTACTGGACTGCTTGATCCTGGTCGATTACTGTATCAACAGATTTGAATGAGGTCTCACTGCCTGGAAGCTATCTGAGTAGAGTCATGTTGATTTCAGCCACC